AGGTATCCTGCTGGGAGTGGAGCTGTATGCACGTGCATTTTGCCCTGACAGTGTGAAATTGCTGCCCTTTGCATTCAGGAAGAATGACTTGACACAGGAGCCCATTAGAAAGACAGGGTTATGAAATGTCACTCCCATTACTCACACGTAATTGTGGCTGTTCATGAGGGTGCACAAGCCCACTTTAAATGTCAGCAGAATGAAACTCCGAGGGGGCTCTGAGCCCCACACTCTTGCCTGTCAGTACTTGTCAGAAGGCAGCTCTCCCACCCCCAGGGGCCTTCAAATCAAGGCAGGAGATCACAGCAGAGAAAATGGGAGTACCCAGCAACCACTGTGCGTATATGTCTGTGTGTAGGTACATATATGTGGATGCATGTACATCTGTGTGTATGCATCTGTATATGTGCATGCATTTGCATCTGTATTTCTGTATGTGTGCATGTGAACACACATTGATATGTGCACCTATCCATGTTTGTATATTTGTACACATCTTTACAGGTGTGCTGTATACATGTGTATGTCTGCATGTCTGCACATGCATGTGTATGCCTGTGTGCATACACATGTGCACCTGCATGCAAACGCATATGCATCTGTGTGTGTGCATGTGCATCTGCTTGGATCTCTGCATGTGCGTACATGTGTATGTCTGTGCATGCATGTGTATGCCTATGTGCATACATAAGTACATCCGTGTGTGTGCATGCGCATCTGCTTGGATCTCTGCATGGGTATACATATGTGTATGCATGGGCATCTGTGTGTGTGCATAATGTGTGCACCTGTGCATGTTCGTGTATATATATCCATATATATGTATCTGTGTATGCATATACATGAATGTGTGCACAGCTATATGCGCACATACGTGCATGCATCTGTGTGTGCATCTGTGTATGTGTATGCAGACATGTGTGCATCTGTGTGTGCATGTGTGTATGTGCATCTGTGCATGTGTCACTCTGTTGCAGAACATACATTCTGACCTAGTGTTGCATCTTAGATGTGAATAGTGACTGTTGGCAAGTGTCCTGTAAGGCAGAAACCATGGACCAAAATGCCATCTGGGGACTGTCCAGTCACCCGTGTCTCGGCTCCTTCCTGGGATCAGATGTCTGGCAGCTAGGGCGGATTACAGAAGGGACACCAGTCACTACCACATAGAAGGTGTCAGTGCTTCTGCCAGCAACAGGATGCAACACTGGCATTAAAATGCCCTGGCTGGCATCCCAGGGAAACTGAAAGGGGATCTCTGGTGACAGCTGTGGACTGGCCAATCTAACACAGGCAGTCATTACCTGGACCCCTGACCTCACTGCAAACCACTGCCTGGGGGAGTGTGTTCTCGCTTATTTCTTATCTCAGGGGTTTGCCCAGATGGGGCAGGTAAAGCTTAGAGCCTCTCCAGGCCCTGCAACCAGGACAGTAGAGGACACGCACTCACCACATCTCCCCTCCCAGCTGGCAGCGGGCAGCCAGGTGCTGGGAAACAGAAGACACCACAGCCCTCCCCGGCCATGCCTCGTCAGTGCCTGGCCACCTAACGTCTCCACCCTGGGATGTCCTCTGCCCCCAGAAACCCCTCTCCCACCTCCAGTTGGGATGCTGATGTCACCGCCTTACAAACTGAGGATAAAATGGCCTTGCCCCAACAGGAATCAGGAATGGGTCTCAGGAGCTGTCTAGGTCACAAGCATAATAAACAACTTATTGTTCCAACTTCAGTTTTCCTAGAGTTTAAAACTGATCCCTGGAGACCAGCGCTCCAGCTCTGCAGGGACGTGCGTGGCCCTGGACCTGCGTCGGGCTGGACACACCCAGCAGGGCAGCTGCCAGGACCGGTCCACTTCACCCTCAAGCCACATCCCTGCAGGAGCAAGTAAGGATGTCTCAGACATGCTCTAACCCTCACCCACTTCGCAAACCCCTGGGTGTGGCAGGTACAGAACGGGAAACCCAGGGAGAGAGACAGAGGGCGGTGGGAGTGAGGGACACACAAACCCATCTATCAGAAATGTTGGCAGGGCAAGTGCTGTGAGGATGCACGCAGCGTGGCGGCAGGAACAGGGCCCTTCAAAGGAAGAGTGGAGACCCCTCTAAGCATCAGCCAGCATGGCCGAGATGCAGACTGTCATGCCAGTTGTGTGACATCACTCTACTCTTCAGACTTGGATGCAGACAATATTGTCTTTTCTGGAGGGTCTGTGGTATGTGCATGCATCCTTGGGTCCAAGCAGGTTAGTGCTAGAAAAAATAAGCATCTTCCACTGGCCTTATGTTGACCTGCTGCCACCTCCAGGGGGGCCAACGGTTCCCCTACTGGACACCGGCTCCCAGGGACCACATGGGGTTGTTCTGGGAAGTGGCTGGCCAGGCCCTCAGGGAGGACTGTGCTAACCCTGCAGCCCTAAAGGGATGCCTGATGTCATGTCTTTCAAAGGGGATACTATGGTCTGAATGTCTGGACTACCCTCACATTCAGATGTTGAAATCCTAACCACCAATGTGATGGCTTCTGGAGAGGGAGCCTTTGGGAGGTGACTGGGCGAGGAGGGCAGAGTCTTCATGAATGGAAGCAGTGCCCCTATAAAAGGAGTCCCAGAGACTCCCTCAGCCCTCAACCATGTGAGAAGACGCCGTCTATGAACCAGGAGGAGGGCCTTCACCAGACACCAAGTCTGCCAGCACCTTGATCTCGGACGTCCCTACCTCCAGAATAGAAATGTCTGTTTTTATGTCACCTCAGCACCAGATAGAACCCAGCCGGCAGAGATGCTTCCAGAATGCCAAAGGTCACCATTTACACTGGTAGAGCCTTTGATAGGACACTAAAACTGGTGCTTCCGTCCCCCAGAGCTTGACCTGCAGGGAGGGCAAAATTACATAAAAGACACTATATAGAAAAGTTGTGCTTTAAGTGGACTTTATTTGTATTCTTAATCTTCCCACCTCTTATAAAACTTTTCGAATTTCAAAAATAATTCCAAGGGTGCTTAACTAGACAAAACAAATGTAAATTAAAATAAAATACCCATGTATTGTCCACAAAGCAGGCTGAAATTTCGAAGTCTGCTGCTAGCCAGGGCTGGGAAGGTGTGAGGTAAAGGACTTCCGGGTGCAATTCTGAACTATCCAGATGTCTGCACACTCTGATCCCCTGGCAACTCGGGCAGCAAACTATGTGTGCACAGCTGCAGACGTGCAAAGCGATGTGTGGGAGGACCACCCTGCTGTGCTGTGACAGTAAAATGTGCAACCGAAGGGGATGCTCCTCAATGAGGGGCTGGTTAACAGTCAGGCAAGGAAGACACCACCATTACAAAGACTAAAGCTGATCTACACAAACTGCCCGTGAGCACATCACACCAAAGACAGGTGCAGAGCAACAACACATGAGGCACGACCCACCCGTGTCAATAGAGGATGCGTCAGTCTACACACAATACACACACACACACACAGCCACGGGCACACATGGACATGCACAAACACCAGATACAGACTCACAAGAACACACCTTCCCACACACAGGGACACACGGATACCAGACACACATGCACACATATGAACGTGGACAGACAGCCAACTGTTAACAGTGTTGCTTGTCAGGAGGAGGAGGAGGAGGAGAACAGCCAGGAACTCAAGTTTTCTTTGTTTTTTAAAAAATGAATCACACTTTTATACTGCTTCTGTAAAAAAATTTAATTCATTAAGAGACTGTTTCATCCATGCTACACTCAAGTCAGTAGGACCAGAAATTGAAACCCACCACATTAGTATGTGGAGCTGTGTATAATGCAATTTTTCACATGCTAATCCATTTCTTGGCTTAGGTGACTATTTCTTGCCATACCTTTGACCCTTTTTTTATTCACATAAAAAATGAGAAGTGGCTTCCTTTCCCCATATATACTTCATGCTTTTTGTGACAGCAAAGTAAAAAATAACAGAAGGAGCCAGTCCTCCTGGGGCTCTCACAATGGAATTCTCTCACTGCTTAATACAGCACAGAGCGGATAAAACTGTCCCTGCTTTCAATTACCTTATAGCTAAAGATTCCAAAATATTTTTTTATGAAGAGACCAACAAAAAGCAAAACTCAAAGACAAATGACTTAAGGGAGGAAAAAGAAACTAGCAAAAAAAATACTTGTAAGACAAGTGCCAACTCCTAATAAATAAAGTGATTTAACAAATGTAAGAAAACAGAGCTCCCACCCCAGTGGACCAGATAAGATATCCAGCCAATAAGCACAGAAAGTGCTGTCTGCCTGGCAGTGTCACTGTGCTCATTAAAGCCGCCCCATCTAACTGGCAAGATGAGCTCTCATCACGGTGCCATGCACAGGAACCATGAAAGTCTACGCTGGCAGCAGGACTCTTTTAAAAGCCAGCAGAATAAAAAACCTTGTGGGGGCCCATTCATGATACTTGAGTAGGATGAAAATGATGAAGGAAAGATGGGGGTTTTACCTTTGTTTTTACAAATTAAGCTGGTTATTTCTCTCTCCTCTGAAACGGAAATTGCATGGCTTGGAATGGACCAAAATTAAGATTAATCACAAAATGGCCCAAATCTGAGGAGGGTGACCTGGAGAGCCCTCTCATTACACCACACCTTACCAGCCACCTCCCTGCACCCTCCAAAAGAAGAAAGTAAGCTTTCTGGTGTGGGCACCAGGGGCCAACGGCCACAGAGCTGCCACAAGCCCAAGACCCAGTGGGAGGAGAGGCCGAGAGAGCAGGGAAGAATACGGGGAGCAGGGACAAGCAGTGGCAGAGCAAGAACAGAGGCAGACCATCACTGCGGGTGCCCAGCAGCCACCTCCCCATGCCGGGCCCAAGGGATGGCAGCCAAGTCTGAAGCTTTGCCCCACGGGATATCCAGGGACCAAGGGACCAAGCAACCAATCACCTGCCAGATGCAGCTGAGGCCTCTACACATTACCAACTCTGCTCCACTGAAATTATAGATCATGAATAAAGCTGTTTTACCTGTATCTTACGCCTCTTGAAACTTTCCAGTCGTTTCTAGAAAGAAGTCTTCAGAAATCTTTGCTGTGAAAATAATGGGAAACAAGGCTATTTAAGCCCTTAAATTGTCCATCCACTTAAACTCAGCAACACTCCTAGAAAGGCACTGAAAACAAATTATTGTGAGTTTAAACCTTCTAGACTTCCTTAGATGCAGGATCAGCTTGGCTTGTATGTGCTGGGGAAGACAGGAGGGAGGGGCTGTGAAACCGCCCACCCATGAACAGAGGGGAAGTGCAGCCCAGCCCGTCAGCTGGTGCTGGAGATGAACCCCAGGACCTGACCAGGTGCACTTTCTTGCAAAATAAGCCATTTCAGTTAGCAGAGTCTGTGAACCAAAAAAGTACGATCTAATTATCTATTAGCTCCAGATATGTATTCTGTAAAATTCATCTTCATGAGGCAAAGAAGGAAAAAGCAGAAACACATATAGCATAATTACAAGAACCAAAGAGCTGTTCATCTTCCTTTATTTTTGGATGGTTGATTTTCAGCCAAACAGAACGACGTCCACTGTGGTGTGGCAAGGTTCCATAGCATGGCTGTCGCTCCTCTGCAGTGTGGGAGATCAGCCTCAAGACAGCGATCATGGGGCGCAGTAACAGCACCAACAGTTAGATCAAGAGAATCAGAATCGCAAAACCAGAGCCACGTGCAGGACTGCAGACGCTCAGGAGCCGACGCTGATCCCTCCATGATTCTATTAATACAGGAGCCACGTAATTGTTAAACCTCGGAATCAGACTCCAGCATATTCTGTGGTGAGGAGGATTTCTTTTTTGTTTGCCTTGTGCTTTCAGAGCTTATATGATCACGGCTCTTTTTTTGAAGCCAGCTGGGAAGGAGGCGGCTCTCCCTGGAAACGCAGGTGTAAAGCCCCGGTCCCTCCCACCCAGGCCCCTCACTGGACAGCTCCCTCCTCTCCAGATGCCCTGCACACCCCTCCCCCGGGAGCAGAACCTTAGACACGGCCACAACATCCGGTCCCTCAGCCCCTTGGGGCCGACACATCCTCTGAACCCTGAGCAGGCACCTGAGGTTAGCAAATGAACTGCGCGGGCAGTGATCAGAAATGACCACGATTCATCAGGCCCCACCGTAGCAGAGCTTCCAGAGACTGACACTGGGGTCTTCCCTCCAGCAGTGGATGGCTCTTATGGCCAATTTTATAAGCAAAAGTATGTTCACATGAGCAGCTATGAGAATCCTGGGAAAGGCCACATCCACCCAGGATCTGACGCTGACATTTCCTGTTGAAACTCTCGGGGTAGGGCTGGGCATTTGGGCACAAATGCTGGACAAGCAAAGAGGGAAAGCCCACGCTGCTGTGGGCACCTGCAAAGTGCCACATCGCTTGTTCCCACAAGGCTTTCCTGTCACACAGGAGGGAGAGGGGACAGCGGCCACCCGGGGACTGTGCCAAAAAAAAACCAGTTCAAGGCAACAAAGGCAGGGATTCATACAAAAATAAGAGGTTTAGGTAAATAATGTGAATATCACGGATTTTTAAAACTGAAAAACTGGCTGGGCGCTGTGGCTCACATCTGTAATCCTGACACTTTGGGAGGCCAAGGCAGGTGGATCACTTGAGGTCAGGAGTTCAAGACCAGCTTGACCAACATGGCAAAACCCCATCTCTATTAAAAAAAAAAATACAAAAATTAGCCAGGTATGGTGGCAGGTGCCTGTAATCCTAGCTACTTGGGAGGCTGAGGCAGGAGAATCACTTGAACTCAGGAGGTGGAGGTTGGAGTGAGCTGAGATCACGCCATTGCACTCCAGCCTGGGTGACAGAAAAAGACTCCGTCTCAAAAAAAAAAAAACTGAAAAACTCCTATTTTCTAGAAAAGAAATAAGCCTTTGTCACTTTAATAAAGACCCAGAACTGCTCATCCTGAGGTTTAAGACATGTATCATATTCGCGGTAATTTTGTGGCATCCAACAACAAATGTCAGCAGGTCTGGCGTCTCATCTCAATCACCTCCAACAACTCCACCTGAACCCCGGCATCCTCGCGTCCTGCCTCCCAACTGGGGGTTCACATCTAGCCTCCAAAAACAGCTGCCAGCCCCAAGGCTGCTGAGTGGGAACATACTTCCTTTCTTAGTGAACTGCCCAGGCCCCAGCCCCACGTTGCCTTCACCCGACATGACCAGGGTTTGTTTCTTCTTCCTCAGCATGCAACCCCACAGTTATGAGTGACCTGGCTGAAAAAGGCAAACCCACACTTCTCACGTAATTACTCATCATGCTGTTTTATCTCAGACCTCCCAACTCCTGACAGCACAGGTAAAAAGAATCCAATGGCCTTTTCACCAAAAAGCAATGAAATTAACTAGAAGAGAGAGAAGCATTTCCCTCTCATGGCCTTCACACCCTCTCCTGGTGCACCCCCAATAGTGCAGGAGAGTGTGGGGCTCCAACGCCCAGGCCTTGCGAACAGGTATTTAGTGGTCGTTGGTGGCAGCAGCACAGAGCCACCGGCAGTGCCTTCATCTGGCCTCCATCCTGCAGACACGACCTCGCCTTCTGGGCGTCCTCCCTAAGCAGGGACCTGGTGTTCTTCAGCACACAGAGGAGACAAGTGGGATGAAGCAAGAGCAAGGGCCTCTGCAATCAGAGGAACCTGGGTTCCAGTCCCGGCTTCTCCAAGCTGTGTGTTCCTGGGGGAAGTTACTGAGCCTCTCTGGGCCTCTGTTTCCTCATTCAAAAAGTGGGCACACTAATACTGCCTGCCTCATCTGGTTCTGAGGATCCATGACTAATCATAGTTAATGTTTCCTAGTGCTTTCCTAGGTGAGGTGCCGGATGCTGTTTAAGCACTAGGAGGCATTAACTATCATTCTTACCACCTATGAAATGAAGCTAGTTACACCTGCCTAGCTAAGAAGACTCAGAGAGATATAACAAGCATGGTGCAGCTATTAGCACATCTAACACACCCTACTGCCAGGGACTGTGGGTTCCACCAGCCTCCTCCTGCGCACACGGGGGATCGGGGCTTCCCCAGGTCCACATAGACTCCTGGGAGCAGAGCTTAGGAACACTGTGACAGGCAGCACTGCTGTGGCTGTGGACGCGGAGGGGGCCGTGAGCCCCTTCTGCTCAATCTCCTCATCCTGGCCCAGAAGCAAGTAAAGAAGTTCCAGGGGCAGAGAGCAATGGGGGACCTTCCACTGAAATTGGCACTCCAGCACACACCCCGATGGCGTGGGCACGCGTATTACAACACGATACCATTACACTCTGCTGAGCAGGGCACCCATGAGAAAGGCTGGCTACAAAGTGCACAGAGAGGGCCTGGAGGACACGTTCCCGCACCCTGCTGGGCAACATCTGCCAAGAAGCTCCATTCAGAACCTCTGACCCAGCAGTTCTCTACCAAGAATTCAGTGTGGATATACCCCCATGTGTGCAAGACGACTGGTACGAGGCCACTCAACAGGTAAACTCCAAAGACACCCAGAAGTCCGTCCGTGTGTGCGCGTCTATGTACATGGGTACACACGGACATAGCACAGAACGTTTTCTATACAAATTACAGCACATTCCAGAGGATGGAATACTATGCAACCGTTAAAAAGAATAAAGCTGCAATTGTATGAAACGGCACCCCAGATCCATTGTTCACTAAAAAGTAAGGTTCCCAAAAATGTGTACAGTGTTTCCACCTGTGCAGGCACATGGTGTGTGACCGTGTGTGTGTGTGAATGGGTGTGCACACAGGTTCATCAGAGGGATGATTGAAGAGATCACAATTTAATCAAGAACCTGCTGGCAGGGGATGCCTATGGAGAGAATTTGATCTGCGAAAGGAGTGTGCTTCATTTTTCACTATTTGGATTCTTTAGAACTATTTGAATTATTTCCTTAATCATGTGGTTTTCTAACTAAAATATTTTAAATCTGGTATCAAAAGTAAAATACAGTAATTGTAGAAAATTTGAAAAATTCAAGAAAGGCAAGAGAACACATTCCTGACAATCTCTAAAAAGGTTACACAGGTTATAACACCGGTTAAAGTAAGATTCCAGCTCAGGCATCTTCTGTACTAACTTTACTAAGACGAAGATTTCATCAAAATGGAAATGTTTGAGAACAGCTGACAGACATGACATACATTTCTGGTCTTTTTGCCATTTTGTTGGAATTCCTCATTCTAAGGAACTCTGACTCATTCACTCAACAGTCACTACTGGAGGGTGTGGGGTGAAGGTGTGAGTCAGATAAAGACTGTAGACTCCAAGCCCCTGGTTTCTGACTTGGGGAGGGCAGGCCACAGCAACTGCACAGGACAGTGGGGAAGGGGGTGCCCTGCTGGCTCTGTAACACGGGAGGTGGGAGAGGCAGGCTGGCAGCCATGCAAGAGGAGACCTGAAGTTCAAGAGAGGGGCTGGAGCCTACGGGCTGGTGGAGGGAGAGGGCCCGTGCGGATCACGTCCCGGTCCCGTGTGTCTCTGCCCCGAGGACCATGCGAGCGCATCTCCGTGCTGTTTATTACACGGTGCCCTCAGCAGCCTGTCACGGCTGTGCAATATTCCATCATTAAATATCATAATGTGGGACATTCAAATCCTTTTCAATTTTCCACTTACAGTTCAGTTTTCTTTAACCACCAGCGGTGCCTGGCCAAGAACCTTTTCTGTCTGGGATGTCCACAGTGATGTTACAGAGGTTGAGGCACCACACAGAGGGCACTGGGAAACAGGCACAGGGAGATTCCGTGGTTCCATCATGTCTGTCTGCTGTTCTTGAAAATCTCCATTTTGATGAAATCTCTTAATAAAGTTAGTACAGAAGACACGAGCGCTGGGATCTTACTGTAAGTCATTACAACCTGTATAACCATTTTAGAGACTGTCAGCAATGTGTTCTTCTCCCGCCTTTCTTAAACAGAGGCTCAGGGCATCTACTGATCACACTGACAGCTTTGCTTCCTTTTACTGGGAATTAATCACACATAATTTCCATGATTTATCTTCATTTGACTCGCTTCTAAAGTTCTCAGTTAGTTGAGCTGAAG